GTCCATCCTAAAGGAAATCAGTCCTGAATATTCTTTGGAAGGACCAATGCTGAAGCTGAACCTCCAATATTTTGATAATGTGATTGGAAGAACTGACTCATTAGAAAAGATCCTGATGCTGGGAAAATTAAAGGCAGGAGACAAAGGAGAAGACAAAGGTTGGGTGGCATCACCGATTTGATGAACATGAGTTTCAGCAAGCTGTGGGAGTTGGTGATGGACAGGGAACTCATGCGTGCTGCACCCCATGATAGAGAAAAGTGTTGGACATGACTGAGAGACTGAACTGAACTGATGTACAGAGGGAAATCAGGGAGCAGGCCGAAGTCTTTGGGGAAGGAGAAAGGAACAATTCCTGGATAGCAGACAACAATAGGTCGGCAGGCCGTTTCAAGCTGGAGAAGCTGTAGGGAAGCAATTCTATTTCAGGTGGAGAGAATGGTAAGAAAAAGGCAGGGCAACAATGCTGGGCTTTCCCAGAGGACAAGATCCCTGTTCTATTAAACTTTATCAATCCTCAATTTTGTTAGACGACTGGAAACATGAGTTTTGTTTTGGAAGTAGTAGAGCAATATTCAGTGGAAGGACTGATGCTGAAGGTGAAACTCCAACACTTAGGCCATCTGATGTGAATAGCCAGCTCATTGGAAGAGACCCTGATGCTGGGAAAGACTGTAGGCAGAAGGAGAGGGATCAAAGGGATGAGATGGTGTGATGGCATCACCGACTCCATGGACATGAGTTAGAGGAAACTACACAAAATAGTGAAAGACAGGGAAGCCTGTTCTGTTGCCATACATGTAAACACAAAGAGGCAGACATGGCTTAGCAACTGAATAATACCAATGAGAACAGAGGGTCCAGTGAAGTCTGTGAGCCTGGTGGGAGTGGAGAAAGATTTAGGTGGAAGGGGAGGCTTCTCATTCTCTGCTACAGGTCCTTGAATCCTCGGCAAGGAGCACAAGATATTGAATGTGTGACCAAACATTGTTTTCTAAAAAAACAAAAAACTGTTTTCTGCAGGAGTGAGAGCTTTGACTGAGTTTGTGCTCTAGATTTTACTGAGGGATGTGGAAGGAAACTGGAGTGGGCTGAGTCTGCAAAAACCAGATGACCAGATGCTGGAGAGTGAGTCGTGTGGTAAACAGTCTGCACTAGGTGGAAAACGAATCCATAAAAAGTGTCCCTTCTGGAGTGTATATGTCAATGTATCCCATTGTTGCAGCAGATCACTTCAGTGGTGTTTTGGGGCAAGCGAGAAATGCATGATGGGTGGTTTGCTTTTGTCAATTCCTGTGGATTGTTAGATGACTCAGTGTCTGGTTACTTCACTGCATGGTGGGAATCATGCTTGGGAAAGAAAACTAGATGAGGTCCACACATATTTTGTCGTTAAACAGCAAGCATAGGAAGGTTTCTAACACACTGTAGATAATTTCAACATGAGGGGCCAAATGGGGACAGTTTCATTTAACAGGCTGAAATTGGACTGTACAGGTTGCCATAGTTGGTGCTATGACAAGTAGCCATAACAGCTACTCGTTGCTATGCTGGAGATGTGGGAAACTGATAAGAGACCAAAAGCCTTACAACTCTCCATGCAGTGCAATTTCAGGCTAGAAGTAGTTGGCAAGGAAACGCTGACAGGTAAGGCTGGGAAGGGAGTAATCTGAGCCAGTAATCATTAGCTCTTGTTGGAGCCCAGAAAACAGAAGCATCGGCTCAGTCAGAGTTCTGTGTCATAGTTCAGAAACAGAGGTCATTTGGCTTGAATCAATATTTAGCCTTGGGCATGGCATCCATAACCTCTAAACAGAAGATTTCCTTCTCCCCAAGTGGGAGGATAATTCATATTTGTTCCAGACTCAGGAACCCAGAAAGCCCTCTCAGTGCCACTTGTTCTTAGCAGGAACGCATGCAATCTAGAAGGTGCAATTATCATCATAGTGCCCATTTTCCAGATGAGACAACTGAAGTTAAGGGACTTGATCAAGTTCACACACCTATACACGTGAATCACCAAGAAAAAACCCAGGGCAACTGTCCTCAAAGTGTCTGTTTTTGCTCCACACCTACTGGGAGTGGTGGGTGGTGATCTGGCAGAATGCTTAGGCAGAAGCAAGCAATATTCAGGCTTAAATTGAAGAAAGGAAGGAAAACCTCTAGAACATTCAGCTATGACCTGAATCAAATCCCTTATGCTTATATAGTGGAGATGAAAAATAGATTCAAGGGATTAGGTCGGGTAGCCTGAAGAACTATGGGTGAAGGTTTGTAACATTGTATGGGAGGTGCTCACCAAAACCATCCCCAAGAGAAACAAATATGAGAAGGAAAAGTGGTTGCCTGGGGAGGTCTTAAAAACAGCTGAGAAAATAAGAGAAGTGAAAGGCAAAGGAGAAAGGGAAAGATATAGTCAATGGAATGCTGACCTCCAGAGAAAAGCAAGGAGACATAAGAAAGTCTTTTTAAGTGAACAGTGCAAGAATTAGAGGAAAATAATAAAATTGTAAAGAGTATAGAACACTTCAGCAAAATTGGAGCTACCAGAGGAACACTTCATGCAAAGACGGAGACAATAAAGGACAGCAAAGTCAAAGCCCTACCAGAAGCAGATGAGATTAAGAGGAGGTGGCAAGAATGCCGAGATGAACTGTACAAAAATGGTCATAAATTCGGGATAGGGATGATGCTTGGGTCACTCTTGTAAAGCCAGATATACTGGAGTATGAAGTCAAGTGGGCCTTAGGAAGCATCACTACAAACAAAGCTAATGGAGGTGACGGAATTCCAGCTAAGCTGTTTAAAACATCCTAAGAAATGACGCTATAAAACTGCTGCATTCAATATGTCAGCAATTTGGAAAACTCAGCAGTGGCCACAGTGCAGGAAAAGGTCAGTTTTCAACTGAATCCAAAAGAAGGGCAATCTCAAAGAATGTTCAACCTATCAAGCAATTGCGCCTTTCATTGTGTGGACCACAACAAACTGTGGAAAATTCTTAAGGAAATGGGAGTACCAGATCACCTTAACTGTCTCCTGAAAAGTCTGCATGTAGGTCAAAAAGTGGCAGTTAGAATCAGACACGGAACAACTGAAAGATTTAAAATTGGGAATGGAGTGTGACAAGGTGTACATTGTCACTCTTGTCATTTAACTTCTATGTAGGATACCTCATTCGATATGCTGGTCTACATAAATCCCAAGCTGGAATCAAGATTGCAGGGACAAGTAACAACATCCACAAATATGAAGATGACACCTCCCTAATGGCAGAATGCAAAGAACTAAAAAGCCTCTTGATGAGGAGAGGAGATGCAAAAATTGACTTAAAACTCAACATTCAAAAAACTATTCACAAAAAAATACTGAACATTCATGGCATCCAGTCCCAACACTTCAAGGCATATAGATGAGGGAAAAGTGGAAACAGTGGTAGATTTTATTTTTTTGGGGCTCCAAAATCACTATGGACCTTGACAGCAACCACAAAATTAAAACACGCTTGCTCCTTGGAAGGAAGAAATGCTATGAAAAATTGGACAGTATATTAAAAAGCAGAGAGTCACATTGCTACAGAGGACTGTAGTGTCAAAACTATGATTTTTCCAGTAATCATGTGTAGATGTGCTATCTGGATCATAAGAAAGGGTGAAAGACAAAAAATTGAGCTTTTGAACTGTGGTACTTCAGAAGATTCTTGAGAGTTGCTTATACAACAAGGAGATCAAACCAGTCAATCTGAAAGGAAATCAACCACTGACCCCTCCTGTCCCAGCTGAGGCATCTACTGAGGGCCTCCAGGTGGAAAGAATGGATGCTTCCACTGCAAAAGTGCCTAACCATGGCAGCTCCAAGCAAAGAGTTTGTAGCTCCACTCCTGGAGGAAGCTCAGAAAGACTGAAGGCTCTGTGTACCCTGGGTCCCCCGATACATGTGTTGCATTCTCCCCAGCAGCATTGGAGGCCAAGGAAGGGGCATTATGGGCCCTGGAGGAGGGGGATGGCTCAGGAATCCACTGGGGCCATCACCTGCCAAGTCAGACTGGAAAGGACAGGGCAGGCATATGTGGCAGAGAGCTGGGGTGTGGGAATAAGAGGGAACCAGCTCAGCATGAACTACCTCACCCAAACACCCCTGGAGGAGAAGCCCAGTGATAAGATCATCTGAGATGGGATGAAGAGAGTGGATTTCATTACCCCTTAGAATTCCTCTAAATGAGGAGGTGGTGGAGTTAGTGGGTCATCACAAACTCTTCCATGGCCTAGACCATCCCCCCAGTTGCTATCCTTGGGGCTGCCTCTCCCCAGCTTCAGTCATGTAGTTCTGGAGGAAACTGAGAATCATGTGTGCTGTTGGGTCATGGGCAATGACCATGTAAAGCCAAACATGGGACCCCATGATGCTGCCAGGACGGCTGATCTGGGGCTCTACATGTGATCTGAGGTGGGTCATTCAGAGAACACCATTGAACTCTGATAGCCCCGAGCTTCTGTCCTTACTATGTGATGCCTTGGGGATATAAAACCATAGGGCAGGTAGCTTGGACTCCCTCAGTAGGTGTAGAAGCCTTAAGGAAGAAAATTGTAAGGCTCAGATCCCCAAATAAGAGCAAAGGGAAAGAGCGAGGGTGGGAAAGAGAGAACTGATGACTTCTCCTTTCTTGGGTCCAGTCACTGAGATCTCTGTATTTGCTCTGATTCCTGTGTCCTGGATTCCAAGAATCATTTCAATGAGTCTCCCATTTACTTGAAGCCAGTTGGAGTTGGGCTCCTCTCAATTTTTATTCAGACTTGATTCTAGATACTTCACTCCCAAACACAAACAGAGGCACCCATTTGTTTCAGCACCATTATGAGTGAAACCCTTTATTCTTTACTGAGAATAGGGTGTGCAGACCACCAAATACTGTTCATCAGCATCCTAGGCAGGAGTGCCCTAAGTGTGAGTGTGTGTTAGGAGTGGCCTTACTGATTCCTGAATCACTCCAAGCGTTACACTGCCTGTGCCAGGCCAATCCTGTCATTTCCTCGATCAAATACCGAGAAATACTGCCTCAGGAAGATGTCACTCAGGATCCAGGTCTCTGTAGATCTACTCGCTCGGATCTGTTTAAAGAAGATATAGCAGTCGCCGGTAGAATCCTGGAGGAGTCAGAGACACACACCAGTCAGCCTGACCCTTATCAGTGACTCCCCCCAATATCCAGACCGAGCACCATTCTTGGTTTTATTTCCCTCTTTTGGTAAGTATCAAGTGGTTTCATGAGATTCAGGAGATATGAGAGTTCATCCAAAACCAAAAAGGGCCCATACATGTGGCTGCCATGGGGAAGGGTGTGGTGAGTGGAGGACTGGGATTTGGGGAAACAGTGGCATGATAAACAACAAAGTCCTACTGTAGAGAGTAAGGAACTATATTCACTATCCAGTGATAAACCACATGAAAAAGAATATATATTTTTATGTGTATAACTGAGTCACATTGCTGTGCAGCAGAACTTAAGGTGACACTGAAGATCAGCCACACTTCAAAACAATTTTGAGAAAAGAACAAGAGTATCTCCTGGTTCTCCTCACTCCCTGTTTCTTTCCTGCTGACTCTTGCTCCTTGTTTTCTCTACCGAGAATGCAGGTTCTCCTCCAGCATCCCCACAATCCAAACTTTATTAAAAAACTATTTTTATTGGATTATAGCTGATTAATTAACAATATTCTGAGTTTCAGGTGGACACTAAACGGACTCAATTGTATGTCAATGGACTGAATTGTATGTACCTCTGTATCCTAGTCCTGAAGATACCCCTCCCATCCTGGCTGTCATATAACTGAGGGGAGTTGCCTGTGCTACACAGTAACTCGTTGTTCATTACCCATCTTAAATACAGCAGTGCCCACAACATGTTCTTGAAGACTTAACTCAGGAACTCTGGGAAACCTTCGGCCCACACTCACCCTTTTGGCCACCTCAGGCTTGATTGGGTAACAAACTCTGGTTCCCCATTCCTACCAGTCAGTCCATATCCCTCATCAGCCCTAGTAAATCCCCAGTGCCCCAGTGCAGAGCACCTTGGGATGCCATTTGCATGGAATCCAATGTAGTGTTGCCTAGAACCAAGCAACCCTCCATATGGCTCCATGAGTTTGTGGTCTTAGAATTCCTGGAATTCCCTCTGTTCCTCAAAGCCTTCTTTGAGCCCATCAGCCTGCTATGTACTCCCACAGGTAGCTGACATAAATCCTCCACCCTGTGCTGGGGTGAGTAGTCGCTGTGCACCCTTTATTCACCTAAGTATCCAACCTCCCCACAGAGGGGTTGGGTACCCCAACTCACAAAGGGGGCACCTGGCCAGAGCAAGGGGAAGAAGCAGCCAAGATCTAGGGTGACCATGTAGTTTATCATCCAAAGCAGGAAAACTTTGAGAAGGGAAGGGAGACTGTTAATTTATGATGGAACATCACAGTGGGATGGTCCCCAGCCATTCTCCTTGTAACATGGCCTATTTCAGGGACTGCTATCGCTGACTTTCACGTTCATACACCTAAGGGTTCAGATTGAACTGAAGCTCTCTGAGGACTGTCAGCCTCAGTGTTCCCCTTGCCTTGTGACTCCCACCATGCGAGCATGGTGTGGGGTTTCCACATTTATTTCAGGATGATCAGTGTCCCAGATGGCCCTTTACTGTCAGGTAGTTGGTTCTGTGGGAGGCACTGGCCCAGATACAAGGCTCAGAGCATCTGCAATGGTGTGACATGGCCTGCAGATGGCGCCCGCCTCCCAGCAGTAGCCCAAGGGTTCCTGCAAGCTCCAGTTTGAGAACCAACCCTCAGTATTGTCCCCTCACCTTGATGGTGTAGGCTTGAGCTGGCACTGGGTAGTTGATGCCGTTGATGGTGAAGATAATAGAGGGCAGGTCATTGACCGCAGAACATGAAACATAGTGCTATTAGAGAAAGAGGGAGAGAGGTTGGCCCTGGAGATCCTTGATGTGTGTGGAGACAGGGAGTGAACCTGGGGCATGACCTTTCACCTTGGAGCCCCGTGGCATGGCTCCGATGAACCTCAGGATCTTATTGATCAGTCTTCTTGGGCCATGGATCAGTGATGTACCGGTGTCCACAATAGCCTCACAGCCGCCAGAACAAGCAACAACCTGTCTTTTCATGGAGATGCTGAGAGACAGTGGAACAAAGCGGGCATCAAGTTCATTATGAGTCTCTCCAGAGCTGCTCCCTTCCCGACTGTCTCATAAACAGCCCTTTGTCTCTTGCCCTGACTCTTCATCTGCTCTTGACACAGCACCTCCCTTGACATCCTTGAATGCAGTACTTGAATACACCTGGATCTTTTGTACCTTGACACAAGCTGGTCTTCCTTTCTAGAAGACTCCCCTCCCCTTTGACTAGCAAATTTCTTCTCCTCTTCCAGATTTCAATTAATTGCATTGTTTTCAAGGAAGACTTTCCCCCAGTGTTTATAAGTCTCCTCTCTTGGTCACTCTGTAGGGCCTTCCTCATGTCTAGCATGTACCAAAGTCACAATTCACTAAGTGTGTGTGTCATTTCTGTGCATCTGCCTTCTTAGATGTGAGGGCGAGTTTTATTCTCATTGCCTCCCTAAAGTGCCCGGCACACAGTGGATGCCCAAAGTTTGTCTGTTCAATGAGTGAATGGAGATTGTGAAAATAATGAGAAACATCCAGAGAGCTGTATCTGGTGGGGAACAAATAACCAGTAAACCACAGGATGAAGATGGAGATTCACAAGGGCAGCAGATTCTCATAGTGGTGGGAGAGAGGGGCTCCTGTGAGAGAGGTTGTCTCCCATCACTGCTCCTACAACCAGCTCTGACCCTGAGACCCTGGCAAGGAAATACATGACTAGCCCACGGAAACTCCAAAGGACAGGTCAGCTTTTGTCTGAGCGTATCACACAGAATCCTATCAGTTATTGCCTCTTGTCCTCAGGTCACTCCTGGATCCCACCTTTCTGATTCTCTCAGTTATAGCCCCTGCCCCACTCTGTGCCCAGGGATGTGGGGTGTCTGTTTTATTAGTTGCTTTCACGTCTTAAGACTGCAGCCAACCTCTCTCCACTGCTGGGTAGCTTCTCCATAAAGAGACCAGTTTTCCCCATTTTCTGAAGACTTTCTCTGTTTCTAAACTGAGACTTATCTGTACTGAGAGCTTCCTTGGTCCCAGGTGGCCCTGGACAGTTGGTTATCTTATAACTCTGTCCAGGCTGGTGAAATCTTCCCTGATCCTGTCACCACACTGTAGAGTCCTCTGACTGTGCTCCCCGCCTCACAGGGCAGCGGGTGCAGCACTCTCCCAGCTGCACAGACCTCTTTGGACTCTGTGAGGACCCTGGTCAGAGCCCTGGTCAGGAGGCCTGGGGATTATGAACTCATGGGCTCTTTGTGTATCTATGTACTTGTGTATTTGTTTGAATGTGTGTTGTATGTGTCTCTGTGTGTGATTCTGTGTCTCTGACTAGCTATGCATGTTTATATGCATCTGCTTGTGTGTTTCCATGTGTCTGTGTCGTTGTGGGTGGTGTTTATGTCTCTGTGACTATTTGTCTGAGAATGCATTTGTGTGTGTCTACCTGTGTCCATATACAGTAGTGGGTGCATCCCTTGGGCTGACCCTCAGAGGGAGAGGCTTACCGGTCCATGTGGACACGCCAGTCACCTGCTTGGATCAATGGTACCCAGTTGAGCGCTCCCTGGTAGTAGGATTTATCCACCCCACCAAACATCACCACACTGCCCTCCAGCTTGCTTCTGTAGAGAGGAGACAATGGGGGGATCCTTGGAGGATGGTAAGAACACCAATGTCTGAGAGCTTTGCTTCTCCACCCATCAAGGCCCTAATAAGGTCCTCATGGAAAGATGCCGAAATCGAGGCTAGGAGCGATTGAGAACCAGACCGAGGTCAGTTACTGGCTAATGAGTGGAATAGAGGAGGGTAGAAGCTGAGTTACCTGGTTGGGCTCCACCCACTATATCTTCTGAAGATGCCCTGGACCTCCTGTGACCTGAGAGCTCAGACACCGTTAGAGGACAGGGTGCTGAAGCATTTTGGCTTTCCCCTTGTCACTTTGTCATTTTTCAGGAAAATAAAGGCCTGGGAGTGCTAAGGGTATGGGATCAGGTCACCCAGAGTTGGCTCCAAAGGCCTGTGACTTCTACTGTCCAAAGGGCCCCACACTCAGAAGGGACCCCACCCCTGCTCTCCCTGTCTTGAAATGCCTAATATTTCTTGACAAGGGGTCCCACACTCTTGTTTTGTGTCCCACACTTTTGTTTTTCGCTGGCTCTTGCAAATTGGGTAGCTGGTCCTAGGCTCGCAGTGAAATGCTAATGAGGAAGGAGAGATACCCACCATCCTTCTCCTTCCTTATCAAATTCATAAGCAAATCCTGATGCCTTTTCCTTCGACTTGTTTCCTGTTGTCTTCCATTAGTCTTCCTCCTCACTCATCCCCCTAGACCAAGTTACTGATCTCAAGCCCAGGAGCAGGGTTATGTTCCAATAAAATATTATTTATAAAAGCCAGTGGTGAAGCCAGTTAGGGCCCTGGGGCCATAGTTATCTGGGTTAGATTATCTCTCAGGATACTTCTTTATCAAGTGTTCTATAAATTTCCTACAACTGAAAGCAAATTACAGCTCATTTGGAGAAACGGATTGTCCATGTCAGACTTACTTGCTCAGGTAGAAGGCAAGAACAGGCTCAGGAATGGCACCTTGATTCTTCAGGTTGTCAAAGATGGGGGTGCCTCCAGTGAAAGAAAAGTTGGGGTAGTTCAAGCCCAAGACTCCATCAAAAGGCATTCCCTTAAACCCAGAATGCTCCAGACTTAGACCGAATTGCTGGTCAGTACTTACAAGGTCCCCAATCTGTGGGAGAGAAGAGTGATCCCACTTACAGATACGTGAAGTGGAGCTAGGACTGGGCTGCGGTGCATTGCCATTAGATCCTCAGAGAAAAATTGAAGCTAGGCTGTGTCTTCGGTGGACCTCAGATGGTTGGACCAAGCTGGGATGGGAATTTGGGTTCCATTTGTGAGAGGCTGTGAATTTTAAAACATCTGCACCTCTGAAAGACACTACCTGAGTGAGTCAAATTGGCCTCATGGCTTCTGAACAGGTGGGGCAACCAAGAGTCATGCCAGGACCCATCAGTGCCCCCTTGTGAACAAAATGAGCTGAGAGCAGGCAGCCTTCTCTTTGGCCTCACTGTGACCTAATGACAGGAATCTCTGTAAGGTACTGTGGATCTACATCTGTCCAGGAAGACAGAAGCCAAAAACACAATCTGGCTTGCAGGGATCTATGAAATTACTGCCCAGGGATTCACTTTTGGGGATATGTGTGTCTTTGTCTGAGTGTGTATGAGAGAGAAAGAGAGAGGGGAGAACTACTCAAGTACTTTGGGGGAAGCAGGCCATAAGTTTGTTGGACTCTCAAAGGCCGCCTAGAATGAGAACTCATTTATGAGGCCCCCTAACTTCTCCAGCCTCCAGTTTCCCAGTCTGGATACCTGAAGCCCTTGACTGCCCCCAGGGTCCCCAGATCAGTTTTATCCTGTCCCCAAACACCCCACAGCAACTTCAGTCCCGAACTGCCAGCTGAGCTCCACTGTTTATTACATGTGTGTCCTCAGCAAGGCCCTTGCTGTCTGCACCTCAGTTTTCTCATATGTCTCATGAGTTAATCAGAGTAACTGCTGTGTGGGGTTGTTGCAGGACTAAACCAGTTATCACCTAAAAGTGCCTGGAACAGTCTGTGAATAAGAAAGTGGGTGCTTTTTTCCCCTCTTCTCGCTCCCAGCAAAATGAACCTTGAACTGCTCATGGGCAGAGAAGCTGTAAGTCCCCATCTCAAGCCACTCTCTGGGTTAGCTAAACTGTGTGCTCCTGTGTCACCATGGGCACTGCATCCCCAGGGACAGGATCCTGTGGGTAAGATGGTGATTATCTATGGGAGTTAGGCTAGGAAGTTTCCTGCCAGAAGGTCCTGCATCTGTTTTGCAAGCAGTGGTCACTCCATAACCAGTCCTGACAGCATTTGTTACTCTTACCCGAACAGTATCACGAGCAACAACTCCCTTCATCCTTCCAGAACCATATTCGATGCTGAAGGTCTTTTGGGTAGGCCGGAAGGTGGAAGACTCAAGATGTCTGAACAAAACGTGTGAAGCTGCAGACACAAGAGATAAGTATCATCAGGTACCAAGGGTGCAAAACAGGGTGGCAGGGCAACGGAAAGATGGTATGGGTGCAGGGTGTCTGTACTCACAACAGAATTGGTTGGAGCAAAGGACGGAGGGCACCCACAAGTCAGATGATCCTGTGTCAAAGACAACCTGGAATTTCTGAGGGGGTGTTCCAATCGTGATGTTACCCACATACACCATCTACAGGGAAAAGGAGGGAGTGGGTTAGTGCAGAACCAGCTACCCTCTATTCCCACACACATGCCTCCCTCTGGATGTCACATGTCTCTTGAGATCACTTTCTAACCACCGTGCAGCTCACTGACATTGGTCACAGAGGTGCCTGCATTTGATATATTTTTCCTGTGCTACATGGTAGGCAGGATATTGGCTCTGACCAGGCTTTGAAGGGGTACCTCCTGCATTGGAAGCACAGAGGCATAACCACTGGACCTCAGGACCACTGGACCTCAGAACCACTGGACACCCAGGGAAGTCCTGGTGCCTTCATTTGAGAAACTCTGTAGTCTCTTCAAACCCAGCCTTAGCAACCCCTTCTCCAGAAGGTCCTTCTTGATCAACCTCAGCCACTCCCTCTAAACTCAGACCACATCCAATCAACACCACACAGGTGACCCTTTTATTTGACATCTATTTACTAATATGCGTATCTCTCAGGCTGGCATGAGCATTCTTGAAGGCAAAATAAGCCCTTTCTGTAATCTAAAAACAGTAACCACTGTATTAGATACTTATGGCCTTACACGGAATACGGGTTCAGTAACTTTTTATGGCTGTGGTTCTTGCTTCTCTGGAAACTGAATTCCTCTGCCTGGGGATTTACAGTTGCTTTGCATTGGTTCTACCATTTGATCAGTGACGGTTCCCTCTTCATCTGTAGTTGACTGACTCACCTATTTCAGAGGGAACAGTCTCCCTCAAACTAATGACACATCTTTGACACAGAAATGGATCTATACCTGCCACCTGGTAATTGCCGGGCCCAGTCACAAAGACCAACAGTTGAGGATGAGAGTGTGTTCTCCTTTGGGTGGGGTCCCTGTTTTCCAGTGTTTCTGCCTCCTGCAGGAACCCCAACCCCACATCACACCTGGCACCTCCAGAGGAGCCCCAGTGCTAGTCTAGATCACCAGGGGGCGATGTGGAGCACCGTCCTCCCCAAATACTCACATCCTCTATGTTTCCCAGTGGGTGACTAGTTATATTTGAGCCAGGAGAAGTCAGGTACAGTCGGTAAGCATGTTCCTTCAGGAAATTGTTCGGCATGTTTTTTTGACTGTGGGGTTTTCTCATGATATTCACTCTCGTTAGAGGTATTCTTTACCGAGCATTTGACAAAGAAAACAAAGATGAACCTACAATCAGCTGTCACTGTTAAGGTAAAACCATCATTGTAATGGCCCTGTGTATTTTCTAATCATTTTTATGAGGCATATTATTATCCGAATTTTATGCATATACCATGACAAAGACATAGTTTTGATTACAGGTTCTGTTCTGCAATCTGGGATAAGCCATATGACCATGTGGTATCTCAGTCTCCCCCTCAGTAAAATGGTGGAATATAACAATACAAACCCTCCAAAAAGAATTTCTTGGGGATAAGTGAAGTGATGGTTGTAAGGTACCTGATAAATAGGAAGTCTCAACAATGACAGCCATTAGCATTGCTGTTGCAATCCCACTGTATCCTTCTCATAGAACCTCAAGGAAGGAGGTAGAAGGGGGTCTCTTATGCTCGTTTACAAGGGAGCATATTTGAAATGTAAGAGGTTACTGAGTTGGCTGTGGTCACACTGCTTGTCCGATATAAAACTGTATATCAAACAGTGTATCTTTCTCCAAGTTGAAAGAGAAGAGGGAGTTGAAAGAAGAATCCAGGAGATAGGGAACAAGTAAGGGAAATTCAGAGGCTCAATAGGGAAGTATGAGTCAAACGAAAAATTAAAGGAAAACAACACAGAGAGAAATACACTCGCAGAAACTTCCAAAGAGATGAAAAAGTTAATGATAGTGATACAGAGATGCAGACATAGACATATACACATTGAAGTAGACAGGGAACAAAGAGGACATGTTGAATAAAATGTAGAAAAGTGCTATTCCACAAGACATATGCATAGACTGTGCACTGAACAGTTGTAAGGAGTTGCATTTTCAATAGGTCATGACTGGACCCCAGGGTTGTGCAACCATGCAAATCTACACCAAGACGCTTGGGATCCACAGTTCCTAAAGCAAGGTACTTATCAATAAGTAAAGGTTGAACTTTAATACTGTCAAGGAAATGTCCCATTCCCATCTAAACCTGATGGGTGGAAGAATAATCAGATGAAAAGAAAAATCCGAGAAAGGAAGATGATGCAGCTGACAGTCCCCATACTTACTTGACTATGCACTCTGAGAAGGCCACCAGCCCAAGGAGCACAAGCCACTTCATGCTTCTTTCCTGGCTCCAAGTACTCAGGGAAGTTCAGGTTCTTAGCATGTAGTGGTGAGCGGGAGCCCCTAGTTATATATGCTCTGACATGCCCTAGTTTTCCCCTTTATGCCACTAATAGATCTGATAAAAACACAAAGCTTTCGATAAAATCTTTACCTTCATCAGTGTCCTTGGTGAGTGGACTTTGAAGCGTCTCAGAATACAAAAAATTGAACCATAATCTCTTCCCTGAAGCTTGGCTGGAAAATCTAACTGATCTGCGTGGATATCTAAGGAGAGGGAGAACCTTGCCTACTTCTAGAAAAAAAAAAAAACTGCTAAGAACATCATGAAAATGGTAACTAGGGGCCATACTCAACATTCATGATTTCATGTCATCTTCCTAGCCACTTCATGAGATATGCATTGCTCTCTTCATTGGAGAGGAGATTGCTAGGAGGATAAGTTGTCAAATGGCAAAGTGAAGACTTCAGGGACAGCCCAGGGACATACAACTGGCCTTAGGTAGTGGGTCCAATGGCAGAGATCAGGGGCACCTCTGATGTCAGTCTGCATCAAAGATTTAGGGCAGAGCAGTGCTTCAATTGCATGGGTTTCAGTATTGGAAAAAACATCATATGCATCCACAAGATATTTTATATCATCCATCACACATACAGGGAAGAACTGTGTGCTGGGTTCTGGGTTGAAGGCTTCAAAGTCAAAGTCGATCAAGACAAAAGTAGTCGTTATCTTAAGAGAGCCAGCAGTCTAGTTCTTACAAACTCGTGGCCCCAGGAGGCAAGAGAAATGATAGTAGGACTAGGTGGCCATGCTGGACCATGGGCAGCACAGGCCTGACCACTGGGAGCAGCCTTTCCTCCACTTCAACCGTGCTGGACAGCAGACCAGTTGTCCATGTTTTCAAGATAATCAGAAGTTTGGATATCTATGTACAATCTACTGATTTTAATGTTAGCAACTAATTTTTGTTCCCTAAAAAAGAGTGGGAACAAAATCTTCAAAACGATGTGCTGAAATCAGCCTTCAGTCTCTGCAGGTTTTTATTTCTGGCCTAGACTTGGGAGTGCAGTGGGGACCGAGAGGAATTTAATTCAAGTTGGTTGATTTACAAAGAGACTGAATGCATACTGAACATGTTTGTTTCCTTTCTATTTATAAAGAAAGATCATCAGGGACATACAAACCAACAAATTTAACTGCTGAAGATAAATGGATATATTTCTGATATAATTTCCCCCATAGGGTCTATACCATGAAAAATTTTATCTGCCAAAGCAAACATACAAAAAAATAATTTTGAAAGGTCATCCCAGTCAAAGAAGATCAAACAGCTGTGGCAACCAAGGTAAAGACAGTCGTGTTTAATGACTCATACAGGAATCCCAGGGCCTATTCCTGCATGAGATCTATCCAGGCCTGTCCCTTGAATACAACAGTAGCCTCTTCTGTTGCCAGGTGTATGTCGGTGGGGCACTGTGTATTAATCCTCATTTTTGCATTTTGTTTAAATTCAGTTTTGGTGGTTAAATCCCAACAGGGGGAATCTGACGTCACTAACAAATGACATACATGTATGCCCTTTGAACTATGGCCTTGGAGAAGACTCTTTTTCTTTATTTATTTTTATTCATTGGAGGCTAATTACTTTAAAATATTGTAGTGGTTTTTGCCATATATTAACATGAATCAGCCATGGATTTACTTGTGTTCCCCATCCCGATCCGCCCTCCTGCCTCCCTCTCCATCCGATCCCTCTGGATCATCCCAGTGCACCAGCCCTAAGCACGTGTCTCCTGCAACCAAACTGGGCTGGTGATCTATTTCACTGTTGATACTATACTTGTTTCAATGCTAGTCTCTCATAATATCCCACCCTTGCCTTCTCCCACAGAGTCCAAAAGTTTGTTCTGTACATCTGTGTCTCTTTTTCTCCTTTGCATTTATGGTTATCATTAACATCTTTTTCTTTTTTTTTCTTTTTTTTTCCATTTATTTTTATTAGTTCGAGGCTAAATACTTTACAATATTGTAGTCGGTTTTGTCATACATTGACATGAGTCAGCCATGGATTTACATGTTTTCCCCATCCCGATCCCCCCTCCCACCTCTCTCTCTACCCAATCCCTCTGGGTCTTCCCAGTGCACCAGGCCCGAGCACTTGTCTCATGCATCCAACCTGAGCTGGTGATCTGTTTCACTATGGAAAATATACATGTTTCAATGTTGTTTTCTCGAAACATCCCACCCTCGCCTTCTCCCACAGAGTCCAAAAGTCTGTTCTGTACATCTGTGTCTCTTTTTCTGTTTTGCATATAGGGTTATAATTACCATCTTTCTAAATTCCATATATATGTGTTAGTATGCTGTAATGTTCTTTATCTTTCTGGCTTACTTCACTCAGTATAATGGGCGCCAGTTTCATCCATCTCACTAGAACTGATTCAAATGAATTCTTTTTAATGGCTGAGTAATATTCCATGGTGTATATGTACCACAGCTTCCTTATCCATTCATCTGCTGATGGGCATCTGGTTGCTTCCATGTCCTTGCTATTATAAACAGTGCTGCGATGAACATTGGGGTGCACATGCTTCTTTCAGATCTGGTTTCCTCAGTGTGTATGCCCACCAGTGGGATTGCTGGGTCATATGGCAGTTCTAGTCCCAGTTTTTTAAGAAATCTCCACACTGTTCCCCATAGCGGCTGTACTAGTTTGCATTCCCACCAACACTGT